GGCGGAACCCCGAACCCAGCGTGGGCCTAAGCCGTGCGTCACGCATCGGACCCTGAGCCCGGCCTAACCTACGCCGTGCGTCACCACGTGGGGCCCCGAGCCCGGCGCGGCCTACGTCGTGCGTCATCCGGTAAGACCCTGGGCCTGGCGCAGACTTACTGTCCTGCGTCACTGGGGGGAACCCCAAGGCCAGCGTGAGCCTCCGTCGTGCGTCACCGCATGGGACCCCCGAGCTCGGACGAACTTACGTCGTGGGTCACTGGGCAGAGCCGGAGCCCAGAGCGGGCCTAAAAATGCGTCACCACGTGGGCCCCCGAGCCTGACTGGGCCTACGTCATCGGGTAAGAGCCTGGGCCCGGCGCAGGCCTACTGTCCCGCGTCACCGGGTGAAACCCCGAGCCAAGCGTGGGCCTACGTCGTGCGGCACCGCACGGATCCCAAGCCCGGCCAAACCTACATCGTGCGTCGTCTGGTAAGAGCCTAGGCCTGGCGCAGGCCTACTGCCCTGTGTTACCGGGTGGAACCCCAAGACGAGCTGGGCCTACATCGCGGTCACCGCGCGGGACCCGAGCCCTGCTGCGCTCACGCCGTGCGTCACCGGCAGACCCCGAGCCCAGCGGGGCCTACGTCGTGCGTCCCCGGGCGGAACCCCGAGCCGAGCGTGGGCCTACATCGTGCGTCACCGCACGGGACCCCGCGCCCGGCCGCGCGCGCCACGCGTCGCCGGGCGGGCCCGAGCCCGGCCGGGCCTACCGTCGTGCGTCATCTGGTAGGCCTCCTCGGCGCACTCCCCCAGCTGCCGCATGTTGTCCCACAGGCGGCTGGCCTCCAGGACGCCGTTCTGGAAAGCGAGGGGCCGGAAGCCGCGTCAGACCGGAAGCTGCCCCCAGCGCGCCTGCGGGGGCACGGGCGGCCCGCCCTCCGGGGCCGCGCCACGCCCACGCGGGCCAGACAGCGCGACCGGAAGCCGGCCCCTTCGGCCAGCCCTGGCACCGACTCCGGCGGCGGGGCCGGGGGCGTGACCGGCTCCGCGG